TATATATATATATATATATATATATATATATATATATATATATCTATATATCTATATCTATATATATATATATATAATATATATATATATATATATATATATATTTATATATACATATATATATATATATATATATATATATATATATATATATATAATATACATAGATATATCTATATCTATATATATATATATATATATATATATATATATATATATATACATATATATATATATATATATATATATATATATATATATATATATATATATATATATATATATATGTATATATATATATATATATATATATATATATATATATATATATATACAAATCGTTTATATTAATCTATAATATTTATAATATCGTATCCATATTATTCAAGAAAATTTAAAATTGGGCAACCTTGTGCTTTGATTTTTCACAATTTAATGTTGTTATAGTGCTATGACTATGTTAATGTGTAATGTGTCTATGACTATATTAATGTATATATATATTTTCTGGTGTTCTAAAGTTTAGTTGTGAACTGAAAGTTATTTTATTTGTATATTGTTTAATGATAACAGATAAGTTATTGCCTAAAGTCGTTGCTTAAAATTTTTACGCAGTTTTGATAATAAAAAATAAATGTTAAAAAAAAGACTGAAAGGTAAAAGCGCATTTTTTGTCTAAAAAATGTCAAATTAGGGAGTATTAAAATGCAAATTTCTCGATAATCATAGGTGCTACAAAATTGGTAAACTTATTTTGAAACAAGATTAAAATTTTGAATAAAATGAAATTAAAATTAACATTTTAACTTAATTTTATTACAAGATCATAAAATGGACTGAAATGCCTACGTTTAATTTATATATATCGAGAATTCGCATTTGATTAAAAAAAATTGAGAATTGTCCGAAACGATTGGCAGAATTAACTAAACGGATCGCGTGTTTTTGAAAACAATAGAGACATTGAAACTTGTTTTAATCAGTGCTAACCCAGGCAATAAATCCATAACTTATATAACTGTGGATAAAAGAGTAATAAAGTTAAGTTGAATGATTTTTATCTAAACGAGTAGGCGTCTTATATAAAATTCCGATACTTTTTGAAACTTTCGACCAAATATAGTAAAAATGATGTTTCCATGTAATATTCTCATGAACGAAAACCCCTAGGTATTTAGTCACAGAATCCCTTTTAATTTCAAGATGGTCAATAAGAACCTTTGGTAGATTTTGAGGTAGAAAACGTTTTTAAAAAGCGGGTGGGAAAAAATCCATTTTTGTTTTGGTTATATTTATTGTTAATTTGTTACTTTTAAACCATTTAGATAGGTTCTTTGTTCATCACGGAGAAAAGTAGATAGATGTCACTGTTAGTGAGAAATAAGTTTGTGTCATCAGCAAATATAATACTTAGGAGACTTGATGCTTTATGCAAGTCGATGATAAATATTAGAAACAAAAGAGGGCTTAAGATGGAACCTTGCGGAGCTCCACAGGAAACATTTAAAAACTGCTTTATATTTAATAGAGAGTCTCCGCAAGTAAATTTTTGCATTTGGATAACAAATAACCCACACTATCCGCAATAACGTGTTCTATAAAATATCAAAACAAATATTTTTAAGCGTTTATTTTAGTATTTATTTTCTCTAATTAAAACTTTCCGTTAACATTTAAAGTTTCATTAACAGCACCAGTAACAGCGTCAGTTTGTGTACTGATTAACTTTCCATAAGATTCTAGTTTTGTAGCTGTTAATTTAAAGAACTCAAAAATTGAAAAATTAAATCAACTTAAAAACATTAAGTCAACTTTTATTGACATGTCACCTAACAGATATCTTAAAAATTGATTGAAATCGCCCACTCCTCATCTAATAAATTAAGTAATTAAGTAGCCAACATTGACATACGGATACCGTACGGGACCCATACGGGTTGTCAACTGGGTGCCATACGGTAAAACCAATGATATCCCGAGGGATTTTAGCTGCGGTTTCCAAATGCAGCCCAAGTGGGTATGCTTGAAGGTATCCTGTATTGGTCTGAATCTAATCCCGTACTTTAAAAAAGTAAAGGGCCCATTTGGGTTTGGGAACACATAATTAGGAACAGAAGCCCATTGAAAATCCGCCATATCTTAACCTCAGTTTTCCTTTAGGCTCCATATGGGTATGCCCGCCCGTTGTTCTGTTTGGCTTTCACGCGGTTTACTTATGGTACATCTTACATAACTTCGTTTAAAATATTTTAAATTTACAGAAAAAGCTAATTTTTATATAACTTGATTGGTTTATTTTAAACAAATTATTAATTAAAATTGCACTGTCGAAATTAGGCAAACTTTTAAAATACTCTTTAATCGCGTATCGAAATAACGTTTATCGCGTATTGAGTTAACGTTTATCTTGCGTATTGAATTAACGCTTATCTCACGATAGTCAAACAGCAGCATATGTATTTCGTTCTTTACCCCCTCCCTTTTCCTTATAATTTTTAATATTTGACTAGTTCCTTGTCTAAAGTCTTCTATAATTTTACACATCAATATGCTTTTGGGAAACTCCAGCCCTCCATGCCTGAGTAAGTTCAATATGGAAGACCCTTTAGTTCAGAGAATGGTAAAAGAAAGGGTTGTTTTGAGTTGAAGGCAAGCTGGTCTTTTCAAGAACTTAAACAAGTTATCAAGTATCTGGAGAAATAAAGAAATTAAATGCTAAAATGTATTATTTTTTTATTTTATTTTAATCAGTTACAATTCAGATTTCAATTATAAAGAAAAAATTTCAATATCCGACCAAAATCGAACTATAAAACTGCTTGAACAAGTACAACTATTTTCAAAATGTGTAAACGGTAATATATGTAGTTTTGTTAAAGCTTACAATAATAAAAATGTAACCATAGCCATAACTCTAACCCTTACAAAATGCACCATATTTTTGACAAATATTTCCTATACAAACTACTACTTAATATCTATCTACAATAGGGTGTCCCAAAATTGCCCTTTTTTATCCCCGATGATACCTCTTAACGTTTTTCCATTCTTTGAAGTCCACTGAGGCTAAAAATGAAAAAAAAAAAAAAATATTGCCAGGAAGTGATAGCTGTAAAATTTGAAATAATTAATTTTTTCGAAAATAAATGTCCGTTAAATCAATGTTGAATTTATTTTTATCAATAATTTGGACCCTATCTTTTATATGCGTTAATGATCTTTTCTTTTGACGCATTAAATAAAGTGTTTAATTTATCCGACTAACAAAACTTTTATTTACGACTGAGGAGAACTCTTAATAGGGCCATATTTTCCCAAAGTTGGTTATAATGTATTACTTGGATCACTAAGCAAAAACAAGATTGGATATCTGTTATTAAAGATAAAGTTGGATAAAAACAAATAGCATTATTTTAATAAGGCAGTACCTTAAACTCTCCTTTCAGATATTCTAAAACCGGCAAAATCCACTATTGTTTTAGCATGTTGAAATTTTTTGTAGATTTAAATTGATTTCAGCTTTGCAAATAAGCTCAAAGAATTAAATTGTCCACAACTAATGTTTGACTAGTTCGTTGTCTAAAGTCTGCTATAATTTTATCAAAAAGTCTGTTGTAGCCATCCACATTGGATCCAAAACCTAGAGAAGCCGTAATAATGGTGGTAAAATGTCTATCATCAATGCGTATCAAAACACTATGATAATTATTTTATGCATCGGTTAACATTGTTTATATATTTCTTAGGACTGTACAAGCTATTATATTGCAGGAGTATCTCTGGTACAGTATTTTATCTATGGAGATAAGTCAAAAGTGCAAAGAGGAACTTCGTCGTATTTACACGGGATGACCATTCTAGGACACGATGTTGTAGATTCTCCTGGTGGTACTTTTTCAACAACAACTAGGAATTCATCACGATTTAACCTGGTTTTGCCAATAAATTTGTATGGTGGTAAATGATACAACTTGACATCGTCTCGGATTAAAATACTAATTCGAGGCTCCTCCATATCAAGCAATATTCGGTATTGACATGTATTGAATGTTGAGGCAGAGGGTAATTTAAGAAACCATACTTTTATCCTTTTTCTGTTTTTTAGAGATGATTTTAAAGTTTGTTGGATGCACTCTCTGGGAGACTTCTTTTGAGTTAACGACACATATGTTTGGTATTATATCACTACATGTTTTGGTCCCTTAAGTCTAGAGGCATGAGTTAATAGCTTTATGGAGGGTACTTCTAATCTATAGCAAGTCTTCAGAGATGGTACCCAATTAGGTCATTGCTTCTTTAGATAAGTAAAATTTAATTGCATCTGGACTTACGTAAACTATTACCACCCATTTAACTTTGTTGCCATTAGATTAAAATCCTTTAAGAAGTAAAAGAATTGCACCTTTGATACGAAGTTAAATTTTTTGGCAGCTGTCATGCTATATTACACGGTATTAAACTTTGCATTTAAACCTGTACTGTCATATCGTTATGTAGACCATACGCACAAATACTGTAATAATTTGTAAATATTACAGTATAATGGGAGGAAATGGGATACCAAATGTATTGCAGTCTGATTTTTTGATAATCATACGCTGATTCGTAGAGTGAAAAAGCAAATATGCTGTGGCCTATCTTTCTTGGAGAAAAATGTGATGATTTCTGTGCAGCATTGCATCACATTGGTCATCAATTGTAATTTTTTTTTAATTTTAATGCTAATTTGCGCTCAACTTTAACACAAATCCGCTGACTTCAGCATCTTTAGTATCATTCAATTTGATATCATTTAGGATGATTTTATTGTTTTTTTTAAAAGTTAGAATTCTAAGCTTTTTTGAAAATCTAGACACAGCTTTTGGGATTTTGTCTACCATCCTCTAAATGTGCTTAACTCGGATAATAAGGTTAACTTATTTAAGCTTAACCTTAGATAGGCTTTAATATATGCAAGAAACGAAAACTAATAACAAAAAACTTTTTCATTGATGTAAATGAAAATTTTTTATTTATTTAATTCAATACGTTTAAATACAGTTTAACTTTTTTCTGGAAGCACTTTTCTTTTATTTAACGTAGATGGAATAAACCAATAAACGTATGCACAAGTAAGTAAGCAGCCAATGGATATTAGAAAAAAAACAAAGAATTGATTGAATGGAAATCCAAATTTATGTTGGTCAATGTTTGACAACGACCAGCTGAAGGAAAAACCAAAGATTGTCGGTCCCAGAGCT